CCCCGTAAATTACTCCTCCTAAACACAGTCTCTCAGTCATGGCTCACGCTCTAATTCTGGGCCCAAGTAAGTGATTGAAGGGAATCTTCTAATGATAACCGTTAATGTGCTTCAGAAAATAAAGTACTTCCTTCTTTCTCTGTCCCACACCCCATTCCCTGAGACAAGCAAAAGCTAAATCAGTACTTAAATCTTAGGTGCCATTTCTCATATTGTTGTCCTATGAATTTCTAGACAGCAAACTGCACATGATGAGTAACAACAAGTAGTTATATAAAACCCTCTAATATAAAGAGGGAGGGCCTAGTGTCATAGGTAGAAGAGGCGGAAATAAATGCTGTAAATGACAGAAGAGTGTCATCAACTTTACATTTTGGAACAATTCTCCAGGTAAAATTTAGCTAAGTGAAGACACAGGTATCTCCAATAACAACCAGCTCTTATCTAGTTCTACAGTTTAAATTACACTGAAGAATAAAACATAAATGCTCCTAACACCAATAATTTACCTAGAAACCATGATTTGCAAGGTAAATAATCTGAGTGTTAACTGCACTTTATTCCTAAAAGTACTCTGAAGAAGGATGAATCAAAAGGAAAACATTCTTAACAGAACAATCAGTTTAAGGACAGTATATAAAGGTAGTTTCCACTACTTTTAAATGAGGGAAATGAACCAGAAGATTTGGAAGATGCCCTCTAAGTGTGACTCAAAGTAAAATTAACTCTGAGGTCCAAAAGCTGCCAACCATTCAGAATTATGATGAGTGTTCATGCTCCCTCTCTGTGAGAAGAATGTGTAGGAGAAAAAGAAAAGGAAATTTAAAAAGGACTCAAGGTACCCAAATCAACCTTTAACAGTCTGCAGAGGGGTAGGCAGGGGGAAAGGAGGGCACAGCTAACAGGATTACCGCAGGTAAACCATTCTTCAGTGACCCGGAAGGACTCTACGGTTGAGAGGCAACACATCTATCTATCTCTTCAAAAAGATTCTGAACCCCAAACTGTATCTTTTTCTAAAACAAATAAACTAAAAGGAAAGGTACTTGATGTAATAAAAGGAGATACAGATAAGGGAAGTAGACGGACACCAAAAGTAACTTACACTCACTTCACAATTTTGTATGACACCATCCAAGTCAATCCACCCTTCCACACCATAAGCTGTCATTTAAAGAGCGCCTAACGATATGCCAAATCCTATGCTTTATGCTTAGATAGATTCTCTCATTTAAATCCTCACGCCAACCTGGCACTACCACCATTTTACAGATGGGGGCATGAGAAGGTTAAGTTCACACAAAAAATGAATAGCAAATAGCAAAACCTGGACACACCACCATTTACCTGACCTCAAAGGTGAGGCTTCTTCTGCGCCTCTGTTTGGTGTACATGTCACAGACTGATAACCCTGAAAAAGATGCTTTCCTTCCAAAGATAATTTGTTCAAAATTAACACAATATACATTTTATAATGTGAAAAAAAAAATCCAGTAAAGAAAGGCCTATCTGGGGACTAACCTCTCAAGCACCTCACTGTCCAAAGGAGCAGAACAAACAAGAATGGTTCTTGGAGTCACAACAGGGGTGAAAAAAACACAAAGGGAAATAAGTGAATAATATTAAATTTAAATTAACAAATAAAATAAAAGTTTAGAAAAGGTAAAACTTTTAAGAATTATTTAAAAGATAGAGAACACATCGCTAGCCTGAGTCAGCACTCCAGGCAACTTATTATAGTATGCAAAGCCAAGGTTAAGAACAAAGGGTCTCCAGACCCTGGGCTCCTTAAGGGCCATCCAGTGCGCAATCCCCAAATCTCCCTTTCTCTCCCTTCTCTGCCCTATGATTTAAAGATTACTCACATCTACCGTTAAAAGACAAAATAAAAAAATACACATAGAACTATTCAGATTGAATCTGAATGATCCTATTCCCATTTCTTCTCTCCTTATTCATCAATAAGTCCTTTATTTTATCAACTTATTTTTTCACGGTCATCCTTTCCCTTAACATTTACATAACATGATCTCATTTTATTAAAAGCTCTTCAAATAACATATTTATCATTATGTGGAAAGGCATGTGGTATAGCAAGAAAGATATAGGACCTCCTGCTCACCTTTCCCTGTTTCACCCTGAATATATTCAACTTCCAACTAAAGAATATAAGAAAACCAATACAGAAGAAATATTTTCCTAATATTAAGATGTTTCATCCAAAATTCATAAATTTACATTTCCCACTAATTGCATTACAACCAAATGGCCAACCAAAACAAAAATGTTCAACAATCCTCTTAGTGAGACAAAATGAAGCTGACTGCCTAGTGCAACATTCCTTTCATCAATTTTAGGTCCAAAATAGAAAAGCGCACATGAAAACTGAATTTTTTCTGATTAACAAATAACAACATGAACCTTAGCAGCCTGGTACCCCAAAAAGTTTTGGGATATTTCATCATTTTTCTTCACTTGAGGTTAATGCTATAACTTCTAGACATAAAAAAAAGAAAGATAAGAAGCTATGTTCTGACCCACCTGAGCTCTCTATTAGAAATTTCAGTGCACAACTCAGGATTAAACGAAAATCTCACCTTGAGCTGACGCTATAACAAAGCAGAACCAGAACCGAAGCAGCTAATTGGCAATGTGAGTTAGCCAAGACCACATTGTCCCGCTTTCCCCCTCAAGTGGCTCCTCATCTAATAAGAGCTAATTTTAAATTCTGACCCATAATAGACTTCAGGAAATAAACTAACTTGATTACAACCCTAAGCAGTTAGACTGGCTTATATCTATCTATTGGCTACTGTGACTAAAATACTTATTTTCCCAATTCTTAGCATGTTGTAGCAGAATTAAGTCTTATTATCTTGGAGAGCTGTCATTTCGTCAGAAAAAAGGGTACATATTCCAGGAAAATCAAGATTTGATCACTTGCTGTCTGACTTTAAAGACTATGTATGTTTAATCACTAAATTAAGCCTCCTTGAAGGGTTGTGGGAAGGATTCAACAATTTAATGTATGCAATGTATATCAGACATAGCAAGAATATCCTTGCCAGGCATTATGATGGGCCCTCGGAATAAGTAATACAGCCTCTGTCCTCAAACAGCTCAACTAGCATTCTGACGCATGTAGCAAAGGCAGTCTCTTTATACTCCATCATCTAATTTATGAACCATTCATAAAATGAAAGGCCAAGTGCAGCATGCTTGGCACACAGTAGGCCCCCAAAAAATATGTTGACTGCCAGAGCTATGGTTCCCATGAGTCATTTTCATTTGTGTTTCTACTTTTCTTTGGTACCCACTGCCAGCATCTGTGACTTGATTGCCAACCTGGAACTTTAGGAGCTACAGAAGATATGAGGCAACCCTCTTTGCTTCCCTTCACAGGCCCACCCCTAGATCTCCACAGCTACAAGGACTGCTTAGGCCAGCAGCAGCCAAGGGGCACCTCGTCAAAGAGCTTGTTTCCCTTAAAGCCACCTTCCCTTAAAGACAGGAAAATCCCACTGGAGTCTTCAGCTCCAAAGGTCCACATCTCAAACTTGACCCCAATCCACCTCTGTCCTAGCCTGCGGGGAAGAGACCCTCTCCCAGGCAGTATGTGCAGGATTAAAGAAAAGCTTGGGAGCAGACAGATGAAATGCCACATGCTGCACCAGAATTCACACTATATTTCCTCACAAAGCAGAGAATCTCAACCTTTCTTCGCTTGTGATTCTCAAACAGGGAGTGGGTGATCTGCCCTCCTTGAGGGATATTACCAGAATTTGAGAAAAAGGTTCTGTCAAGTGGTGAGAGAGACAGGACTGACACACCTCTAAGGTAATTCTGATAGGCCCCTGAAATAAAAATCACTTTTACAGAAGATGATTAGACACCATTGACAATGTTGGTACCACTCTTAAGCTACATAATTGTTTAAATAAAATTTGTTGGCTAGCTTAAGAATATAACCACGTTTAAAATGTTTTGGGCCGGGTGCAGTGGCTCACACCTGTAACCCTAGCATCTTTGGGAGGCTGAGGCAGGTGCATCACCTGAGGTCAGGCGTTTGAGACCAGCCTGACCAGCATGGTGAAACCCCGTTTCT